AATTCCGGCTCAAATGACAATATATTATTATGACGTCACAATAACTTGACGTTAACAATTTTGGTGTTGACGTTATTCTATTATCTACAGTCTAGGTAGAGTTGCGGTTCGTATTGCCAATAGTAGCCTAACCTTTTCCAGACACTTGGGCATTTTAAGGGCTTTTACACCAACCCAGCTTTGCATTGATAATGGCCTGTCCCTTTAGACTAAATTCACTTCTATTTTTTCAGACATCTATTTTGTGTTTACATGACAATAACCAGGATTGATAAAACCACATCGTGCTGACTTGCTTCCAAATTCCGACATACAAAAAGTACATTTTCAACAGCAAATAACACAAAGTAAAATTCGGTTCATTTGGTCTGGGAAAATACGAATTTGTATTTATTTTATTTTACTTTTTAACATTTCTATAGGACACAACAGCCACATAAAAGTGCGCATGTGCGCTTTACAAAGAAGAGAAAGTGTTTCTCAATATTCTCCATCTTTCAGAAGTTTAACCTGGATACCTCTTTGATTAAAAATCACGAGGAGACTTCTCAGCAAAACCGTTTTGGCGACACTCCACTCTGAGTATCATACATTGCATGAAATGAGCAGAAATCTTAGCCTCGTGTGGATATAGGACTATTAACAATCACAGATCTGCTATTTTCGCTTTACATTCCCCTATTAATGGAGTAGAGATTGGCAAGCATGAACTCCTAACCCTAGTTATATTTAGTGACAATCCCCGGAAACCGAAGCCAAGACTAATAGCCCAATCCTGCTTCCGGGTTTAACGTCCACTCGACACGAACTATGTCATGTTGGGACTAACATAATATGGTTCAATTTTATTTCAAAAATTCGTCTTTAGTAGTGGGAGGAAACCGGAGAACCCCCAAAATACCCCACGAGGTTGGACAGGCGACACAAATCATTGTCACGTACAAGCTGTGTATATAAACCACGCCACTTGACTCAATGGCGGACCTTATAATCTAAAGCGCACGCCTTAGACCATTCAGGCATCTAACCTGGGAAACTGGTCAGCGTTAGTGATGTTCGACTGTAAGGACGACTTTTCTCATGTTGGCCAATGTTTCGTTGACTTGCAACCTATCTTGTATCAGACACAGGGTCTGTTTATATCTATATTGTTTGTATTATCCAGGTGTAGTGTATACTATATTGAAAGAAATATAAACAAACAAGGATGCTATTATATTAAATAAGGGTCAACATGGCTGATTATTTTGTGATACGTTCCACAGTAATTGGTTACATTTTTTTTTTTAATTTAACTCGAATGCGGATGCATTTTGTTTCTTTATTGTGTTGACTGTTTCTAATTTTTTTTAATTTAAGTCGAATGCGGATGCATTTTGTTTCTTTATCGTGTTGACTGTTTCTAATTCAGCAGCTATGATTTGATAAAATACTATTGTTGTTTATAGCTTACAGTGTCTGTGTAGGCCGTGCCCAGGGGGTTTCGGATCATTCCCTGTTTGTGCAGAACATATTATATTTGTTTTCTCCTACATTCATCGAATATCGTCGAACGAACAAACGATATATACGTATGCACCCAAATGAGAAGAAATCTTGTCTCAGAGTCACTCGTTCAAAAATAAAATTAAGCTGTGATTCTATTAACCAACTAGTGAGAATGAGTGAGTATTGCGACTGTTTGGTGGAATGCGGGGTAGTGAACTAAATTCAACCTTGATCCCACCTTAAAATGGACAAATGTTTCTCACCTTTAGTGTTATATCACCCTGTATCACCCGATAAAGAATCAGCTTCAGACGAGTTATTTCCCCTGAATTAAAAAAAATCGGTTTCAGATCAGGGTCCGCATTCAAAGGTTTTTTTTTAAATTTCAGTAAAAATACTTATTTTTTCCACTTAACCAAGTGTCTTACCCTAAATCGGCATTCAAAGGATCTATTTTACATATACTTGGCTATGTGAAAAACTTAACTACACACTTAAAATATGGAATACCAACACTAGTCAAATGAATGAATTTTTAACTTATGGAATAACCTATACTGCCAAAAATCCCGAATTATTTACGTCGCACGCAAGTTATGACCCCTTAAGAGTACCACTGTACTCTATTAAAATCTTAGTTGTTATTACTTACTAGGAAAATGTTTGTCAAAAGATTATATTGTAACGTACGGGAGCCCATTAGGGTCAATCAAATAAAAAAAAGTTCTGATTATCTTATAATTACAAGATAGCCTAAGATACCTATCTTGTAATTACAAGATAGCTATCTTGTTATTACAAGATACGGAAAAGCACACGAGTAACCCTTTTTTAGTCCCGAAACGACCTAGTTTGAGTCGAGTGGACGTTAAACTCTCTCTCTCTCTCTCTCTATTGGCGTATGTTTCGTTGCCTGGCAATCTATTTTTAAAATCCACAATAGGTCAATGGAATGCATGGTCTGTTTTTCCACATTCACCGGCTTAGTATGTTGATGAACACCTAGCTTTCCTCAAATGATCACCTGTGCAGGTGCTAAAATAACACATTACATGTTGATCAGTAACTTAAAGACCCGAGTCAGAACACAGGGCCCAGTGTGTAAGTATTGTCCGCATGTTTGTCCTGTGGGTTTTGTTTTTGTGTCGGTTCTTCAAAATAAACAAAACATTCCAAGGACTGATTATTATGTTTGGACACGATTGGCTGGGCTTCAGAATCACCCATTTCAGTGGTAGAGTAGCTAGAAACTCGCCAAAATAATTATTAACAACATGTAAAAAAATTGAATTAGTTGTTAAGCAAGTTTGTAAAAATGATGCAAAGGTATGTAAATTATTACAACACAGTAAGTATTGTTCAGGTTATGAAGTCAGGCAATCTTATACATATTACATGGTACAATAATTTTAAATATCAATACTGCCAGACAAAATTAACTTTGTATAGAGAGCTATATTCTGCATAGGAGAGGTATTAAGTATATAGTTCGGTATGTCATATCATAATAAAACGACGTATTTCCAAGTCATAGCTTGTGTAATTGTAAAATAATATTTAACCTTGTGACACCATGATGCACCCAATAATGGGCACTAATACATGCAGGCACACGTCATATTTATTGTATGCGTGACTTGGTTATTGCCTAAATGTGTTTAAATATTTGTTGTTTCTTTTTGAAATGAAGAACGTTATTACTGTATCCATGACTTGGATATTCCCTAATTCTGATTTCACGTGTTCGAAGTGTATGCTATCTAGGGCAACAGCAGCAGATAAGGCGACAGTGTAGATTTTTATAAACAACAAAAACATTCCAAGAAGAGTTTTAATGGCAAACAGTAAAACAACAATATATTCCAAATAGAACTTTTATGTAGCGCAGGTCAAATTCGAGCGTTAAAATAAATTCTAAATAAGAGTTGATTTGAACGCTTAATCTGATATCGTCAGACAGCGCGAAAAAATGAGTTGCCAACAAACACGTTCACAATGTTCTTGTCAATTCCCACTTGGAACAGAGAATTTAAATAACATTATATCTTGGATTTCATATCTTGTCGCATTCGAATTACCTATAAATCGCTAATTATGTTTGCAGTAACAGTTCGTTTGAAGCGGGTGTTAAATAAACACGCATATTTCGTATATTATTTAATATTAGTAAAGATACACAGCTAGTCAGTGGAGGCCATTAAAATGCGTCATAAACGTTGATATAACACAACAGTTCGTATACGGTTGAATACGAACAGTGGAGACAACTAAATGAAATTTGCCGCTTTAAATTCACATGCGGAAAAACATTGCAACAATCTGATTAAAACACAGATCCTATTTCGTTTCGTTTTTATAGTTCAAAATTTCTTTTACTTGTCTTTACTACACTTGGATCTGGAAGAGTTGTTATCATTGACGTGTTCTGAATGGTGTTCTGAATTAGCCAACGAAACGATCTGTTACGGCGAACTTTATGCGTGTTTTGCACGGAACTGTGGGTAAATCCACTAGTAACATCAATGCTGATTGGTTAATCAAATGTCTGACGTCACAGGGTCAAAAGTCGCTCGTATGAACTCTGACGTTACCTATCGCTACAACCGATCAGATCTTCATGTAATGTAGGACGTCGAAAGTATAAAAAAAACGAAACGAAATATACATCTGTATTTTAATCAGATTGATATTGCAAGAGCAATTTCAAAATTGCGTTGAGCGAATACCAACGGGATAAACGGGTGTATCTTCATCGTCGTAAGCCTGATACCGACATAAAACACAGGATATCACTGCTGCTGCCAACCACAGAAATCCGGCTACAGCAGGAAATATATGACAAAAACCTTTCAGTGAAAAGGCGAGATCATCTGATACAAAGAGTAACAGCCCTGTTTCAGCTATAAATCCTGAAATGATAAATTAGAATTGAATGGAATAGTGTTTAACCCCTCCTCTAACCGTTGATTGGGTCATTTTGAGACCAAGATACGTGTGCAATGCTAGGACAATTTTTCCCAGACAGCACCGTTTCATAAAAGTCTTTGAATTCAAACTACACAAACGGGTAATTGATGTGCACTTTTATTTTGTACTGTAAACTTAGGTTTATCATCCCAACCGAACGACAAGATACACTGTCCTAATCAGCTACACATGCGGTATCCCTGAGACTAAGTCAACTGGCGTGGTTTCGAATTCCGGGTTGTACGTGACAAGGAGTAGGGTTGCCTGTCCAACCTCGTGGGTTTTCTCCGGGTCCCAAAATCACCTAGTCTGTGTCGAGTGGACGTTAAACCCCATTTCTTATGATAAAGGCCTTATGATACAGCGCGCGTGCTAAGATCTAGAGGTGTAAATCCGGTTCTAACGAAAACGCCGCCAAATCCTGTTTACTGCAGTACCTAGATATTTCTCCACACTCTTTTTCCATCGTATCTGGATATTTCTCTACTAATGCTCAAGTAAACACTTCACTCTAAGCATATATGTGTATATAAATATGAACTTGCCTGCTAATAAAGTCGATGTAAAGAAGACAGTGTGCGAATAACCTTTAATTAATGGAGTGCTGGATCTATTTGCCAACTGAATTAAACTAGCAATCAAGCCAATCAAACCCAAAATTAAGACTGTAGTATGAAACCCGCGGTTAATCATCAGAGTATTGCCTTTTAAAAATCCACGAATATCAGAAGCTGAAGGAAAAAAATACGTAGTTTAAAATATAAATTATGAATTTTATGAACCATAAATATATTGCGAATGTACCAGTGTTAAGGTCAATTAAAATGCAATAACAAAATGGTATCGGTGTGTTATCCTCACATCAACTCAATATTCCGGTCATTTCGAGACTAAAGTCACAAGGTTTATTATTCTCTCGTGCCCGTATCTGTGTACTGTAAACAGCCAATGAAAACGAAGCTCTTCCAGTCAACCCAAGTATTAGTAGCTGGTGTTTTAACGTCTGCTTCCACCAGTAGTGATCTAGGAGAAGGAGAATCTTGCTCCTATATGAATTAAAATATTATTATGATTTTGATTTATATGTAAGCTCATAGCCGACACCAACTCTCTAAACGGCAGCCATTAAGAATATAATGTTAAATCGTATGACGTGTAGATAAAAAATCAGAACCATAAAGAACAAACAAAATAAAGTTTTAATTTTAAACTACCTGAGTCTGAATACCAAACATAGCTGCAATCTGGGCTACACGATCTAGACATCCATAAACCATAATGCATGTCCCGTATTTTATACCAGTATGGTAGAAAATAACCAATCAGTTGAAGAATTAGAGCGACACCTGTTATTGCCACAATAACAGGAAAAATAGTTCTTTCTAAATGAGCCTTATACATTCTTTAATCCAGGAAGTGTTCGTCTGAAATGAAAGTTAAAGATTCTTAATAAGGATGGTTTTGTTAACATTAAATTGCAAACACTCTTAATTCTTTATAGACGGTTGTAATTACAAACTTAAACCTTAAAAGGGCATTACTATAATATACTCTTCCAAAAAAGTAGGGGATATTCAGAAACAATACAAAACTGCGGAAATGTACTGCGGTTTTTATTAGAGGTAACCAGTGGAATGCCGGATCAACCATGGTGGGGGCCCTGGGACCTGGAACATGTGGGGGGGGGGGGGCTTCTGATCACCGACCGCGGAGCTGTGGCCGGCCACCGCGAGCGTCGAAGGCGCGAAGCCCCGCAAGGGGGGGGGGGTCTCCCCCATGAAATTTTCAGAAATTGGAGGCCGGAAACGTGATTTCCTGGCATTTCTGGCACTTGTGTCGGAGTCATTTAGAAGTACCTCGCCCAGAAAAAAATAACATTCTGCCACAAAATTAGCGCATTCTGGCGTTATTTCAGTGGACCAATCCATGCGAGTGCTATGAAATGAGTCCTCGGTCCGACCATGCTCGAGGCGCGCAACTGAGATTTTTGTGTGGGGCCCTCTAATGTAGGGGCCGTGGGGCCTGGGCCCCATGGTGCCCTGTGGTTAATCCGGCGTTGAACCATGTATGTTAATAACAGGCCAATTGCCTACACATGAACATAAACAGTTCATATGGGCGGCTTATCTGACGGTCCCATTTCACCCACTGTCAAAAGTGAAAATGGACGTTTTTGATGTTTGTCTTAATAATGAGTAATTGCTCCATCAATCCTCTGACATTCAGCAATTCGTCGTGGCATGCTCCTAATCAACCGCCCAATCACGATTTGGGACAATCTGACCCACTCCTCTTGCAGTGCCACGGCCAATTCTTGCAGTGTTGTCGGTTGACGTTGACGTCGATGAACACGTCTCCCGATCAAATTAAACGTAACACACTAAAGCAGAGATACGCAATTTGACAATGAACCCCTCCCACGTGTATGGCGCTATTGCGTGTCGCACATGCAGCTCAGTGGTTCTGTTGGGGCGATAAGTTCTTCACCTAAGAACATACTCTCAAAGTATGTTATGTGTCCATGACTATTTATCATACCACAACCTGCATAGGTATTTGCATTTCAATATCCCCTACTTTGAGTATATTTCAAAAATAGCTATATGCAAAATGAATATATTGAAAATTTCATTTCAATTATTTTGAGCGAAGTTATCAATTATTGTAGTTTTGACAAGATGTGCGCATTGATCGTAACCACCGTACTGGTCATTCGAGTTTTAATTAAATTATTAAATGGCCAAACCGCTCTAGTCTACTTAAAATCGGAGCCATAATGTATGTTGCATAATGTATGTTTATGGCTTATAATAGTCATTCTCTTTATTTAAATTTAATAAAAAAAAATAATTGCTAAAAGGTGTTCTTTAGATAGCAATCTAGAGGATTTGTTTTAAGAACATGTTAAATGGTTAGATACCAACTTGGCCTCGACGTTCCTTAGCTGTTTGACATTCTAATACAGGGGTCACGTGGCTAAGTGGGTAAGACCCTGGCTCGCTAGTATGGAGGTCGGGTGTTCGATCCCTGCACTGGCCGAGAAAGAACGAGGCTAGACATATTCCACAATGTCAAACGGTGACGCCATATTCTTATCTGAAGAGCATAGGCAATAAATACTACTGGTATAGACTGGAATAACAAGACGCTAGAGACTGTCATTCGATTCAACTTCTCGCGAACATAACTGACTTGAAATTAGAGTAAAAACTGAAACGATTGAATGTAAATCAGTTTATATAAATTCATATTACATTATTATATGCGTTGCAACCCATTTGTGTCAATTTGATGTCCCAATGTCGCTTTAGATCATAAGGTCTACCATTGAATCAAATGGCGTGGTTTCGGTTCCCAGTTGGTACGTGACAAGGAGTGGGGTCGCCTGGGTTTTCTCCGACGCCCCCCCCCCCACACACACACCCACTGGTAAAAAAAAACCTTGCACAAACGAAGTATTGAAATCAAATTAAACCAAATGTTAGTCCAGAAATAACCTAGTTTGTGTCGAGTGGACGAACCGTATTTGTCTCTATCTCTCCCTCTCTCTGATTTAGTTTAGGTCAAACTAATTTGAGTTTTTAGTATTTTAGGGATGTTGATAAATACATAGCCTCTCGGCTATCACGACTGATATTATTATTTGGTTTAATATTTATAAATTGTTTGTCTCAAGAAATAAGAAGAAAAATTTTAACAGATATCCTCGAAAAACTAAAATTAAAATGGGTGTGACCGTAGTTATCATTTTAATTATTCTGTTTAAGTATTTGTCAATAAATACATCGGTTTGCAGTTTGAAGCAAAATTATCCAACTCACCTTATGTATTGGGTTAATAACAGATATTCCTTTTTTTTAATAGATCGAATAAAACGTTTTGAAATTCATTAAATATAACCTACATTACTTGAAACGCATTAAGTACTTGGCGTAATTGTTGAAATACTTTCTAAATGTATTCAAACCTAACACGTGACCATAGCCTTGGGATAGTCATTCATCAAAAATAAAATGCGTTAAACGTACAGCAAATAAACATGTTGAGATTTATTTTATTGTTACTAATTTGGTATACATGCACATTAGCCTACATTAAAGATAGGGCTATCGTGAACAATAGTGGATCATTTCATTCTGTAGCGGGTGAATCCAGAAACAGCATGGGGGTTGTTTGGCTTAAAGAACCCCCCGCACTACACGCAAAACAAAAATCTACAAGATAAACCTGTGGACAAGACAGAAAATAGACATTACACCAAATAAACAAATATCAAATCAAGTGAATGGAAGGGGTTTCAGTTACATGTAGTTGCCACCAAATTTGATTTAGCTCTCTTATCAAAAGCCAAAAACACATATAAAGCCACAGCCTTGGCAATCAATTTTGATGGTGTAAAGAGATTAATAAAATTGTAGGAAATCTTATGATTTGCCGAGAAGGCTGCGTATAAATGCATATGTGCATATGTGTGAAAACGGTAAGGGTCGCCTGTCGAACTTACTTTTTTTTGTGAAATCCGTATCCTCTGTCAAGATTGTTTTGAAAAATCAAGATATTAATGAAGATATTATATTGTCACTCAAGTGAAAAATTTAAATGTAAAACAGTCCGTCCAAAGCAAATATCCTCACACACAGTTTTATAAGGCATATTTATTCTCTGGCTTTTACACCAGTAACATACTATATTATTTTGTATTTCGGGGTCACGGTGGCTAAGTGGGTAAGACGCTGGCTCGCTAGCCTGGAGGTCGGGTGTTCGATCGCTGCATTGGCCAAGAATGTTCATCCAGATTTTCCGGCGTGGTTCTCTCTTGTCAGTGATTTAGGACAGAGGGCCTGACAAGGACAGCTGTCTAGTCGTTTGGATGGGACGAAAAACCGAGGTCTCGTGTACACATTGGCGTGCACGAAAAAGATCCCTTGACAGTTGGAATTCGATATAAGAGTAGGCCGTAGTGCCGCTGTCCGCGCAAAATTTCCCTCATAGCACACTGTATGGCGTGTGCCCGTCTTCATTAGCCCAGTTCGGGGAAGAACAGTAGGCCGTTAAACTCCATTTCATTTCATTTCATTTATTTTGTATTTTGTATCAACTGACATTTATGTATCAATGAATCGATGGTTGTACAGTGTCCTTCTTGTAGTTGTCTCCCTTTACTGATAATTCGCAACAGATCACCAAATTATATTTCTCATTAAAGATTCACTAGTTAAGAGTTTAATGAAGAGTTGACCTTTCTTGCTATAATAATTAAAAAATATATGATAAAAAATAGAAGAATCAGTCAAATTACTTTATTGTGTTATTGTGAACGGAGCTGTCACTGTTGGAAGTTTGGACTAGAAGTAGATATCAACTGGACACAGATCACCAAATATTCCTGGGGTGCCGTCACCCACGAAACAAGGGCCAAAGCTATTTTTAGTCTCTCTCTCTCCCTTTCCCTTTTTCCCCCTTTTTGTTGACTTTTTGGTGTAGAATCGAAAAAAAGGGTTTGAAAATACATTTTCTGCCAGGTTTTGGTGAATATTCATGATTTTGAGGCGGAAGGATACAAGAGTTGTGAGGTTGGTTACGTTGAAATGTAGGGCAGGAAATTGCTTGTTTACTTGTCTCTACTTCCAGCTTGTGTATCTCAAGTTTTCATGGTGAACCTAATACATGCTTGTGGGCAAGAGTTTGCCACATGTTGCTCCATCTGTGGCAGAAAGCGTTCTACCCAACGAAAATTTGGGAAAAAGTTAGTGCAGGTCTAAGAGACGAGAATTAACATTAAAGTCAATGAGGAAATAATTAGTGATCTGTGGCCATTCATCGGCAGTCTCCGGTAGTGAAGTCAGTGACTAACGTTAAATGTTAGGTTGGTCAGTCATTTATTGATTTAATTACTAGTAGTAAATGGACGACTGTTTAAATCAAAGCTGTATCCATGCCATCCGAGGGTCTATAGAGTTGATTTTGAGCTTGTCATGTAAAAAAGGGTCTTAGTAATAATTTCTATAACATCTGGAGCCTAAAGAAAGACTTGCAGATTTAGCTCTTAACTAATGTATCTTTAATGTTCGGACCACCATTTCGCACTGTTTCTCCAAATTTTCACTGAGTTTAAAGGGCCAATCTCGAATATGTTTTGGAGAATAAAACTGCTTAATTTTGTGTTAAAAGCCCTTAAAATCCCCTACCTTAGGGCTGAGCAACTAACTCAATATACGTGATACGCTTTCAAACAACTTAAACCCGTCAATCTTCATCTGGAAATGGAGAACGATTGTTCTATGGCGAGCATCTGAATACAAGGAACATATAAGGAGATAGTGATAAACATTCGGGAGTATTTGAAATATGTCTTGTAAATTTATGAAAGTCTAGATTACTGCAGCCTAGTCTTAGTTTAGTATGTATAATTTTATTTTTACGTTTGCCAATATAAAAAAGAGAGGTATTTTCGGATCATGTTTAGAGAGTTCTTGTTTAAATTTTGAGAGTGATAAAACATTTGTTATGGACGAATTAGGCTGTTCCAGAGTGGGATAGCTGATGGAAAGAATGAATTGTAATAGAGAGATGTTCTGCAGAATATTTCATCTAATTCTGTTTTACTTCTAAGATTATATGGGGATGATTTTAATTTAATGTGGTTGGATAAATAATTTGGAACCGTTCCATTAATAATTTTATATATTGTCTGTAATTTATGTCTTTTTCTTCTTTCGTTCAAAGGAATAATACCAGTTTCCAGATAGAGTAAACGGTGGCTGGTTCCCTTTACAGCCCCACAAATAGTGCGTAAGGCGTCAAGTTGAGGGTGTTCTAGTTGGTTCGCTATGTGATCAGTGCAACTGTCCCAAATATTGTCGGCGTAATCGAAATGCGGTAGTATATAATAATTGTAAATTATGAAAAGAGATTTTCTATTTAGCCTGTACTTTAGGGATCTTAAACAATTAATTTTGATACTTTACTACAAATATAATTTATGTGGATATCCCATTTAAGTTTGTGTTGGAAGAAAAGACCCAAGTGCTTGTGGTTTTGCACATCATTTATTTCAACGGTGTCCATAAAAAGTGGTGGTATATTTGTGTGTGGTTTGATAGAGACTCTGTTAAAATCGGGATGGTCCCTTTAAAGGGACAATAACACTCTTGCTGGCTTGACAGCTCCAAAAAATAAAAAATAGCCTTATTCTAAGTACTAGATGTGTTAGTGTCCTACCTGTTGTGTAAATTATCCATTAAATCCAATTTTACTTGTCCAGAGGGTTCAAAAATATTTTTAAATCCAAGTCACATTTGGAAAGCTTTACGTCAGGCCCCGAGTTCACAAAGCATTCTCCGACTTAAGTTAAGAATTTACTCAACTTTCAATCACTGTTTAAGAGAAATATCTTTGATCCAAAAACACAAAACTTTGATGATGGGTTAGTTGTATTTTACGTCCGCTTCCACCGAGGTGATATCGCAGACAAAACTTTGCACATAGTTTCTTTTTGAGGTATTTGATACATTAAGACAACAATAGTTTTATAAAGAGCTATATTTTAGTTATAATAAGGCAAACATTAAAAAAGCTAAATCGCCACTATTTGTGATCTAGAAATTGACATAAATGGGTTGCAATGCATATAATAATGTAATCTGAATGTATATAGACTGATTTACATTCAATCTTTTCCGTTTTTACTCTAATTTCAAACCCGTTATGTTCGGCGAAATACGTCAGAAGCCTCAGTCGAACGGCAATCTCGAGCGTCTGGTTATTCCAGTCTATTGCTCTTAAATATTGGATATCAGAAGCCCATCTTTTCCCGGTAAGATCACAACATCAATGTTGATTTAAACTGACAAATAATTCGTGTTTTCAATGGGGAAGATTTTGGATGATATTGAGTTAGAGAGACTTGGCTACTTTGATTACGTATCGTTTGATTTTCAATGGGGAAGACTTTGGATGATATTGAGTTAGAGAGACTTGGCAACTTTGATTAGGTATCGTTTGATTTTTTTATTTTATATTTTGTACTCCTTTAACATCTTATATATACATGTACATTAATTTTAAACGAGAATGACCGTGGGTTGTTATGAGATCATAACAACCACTTTCAATAAATAGAATCGTTCTGGTAGACCATCCGGATAATACATGTAGAAGTTGGATGGTAACAATGTAATATAAAAATAAAAACGAAATTCTCATTTAAATTTACAGAAACTAAACAGGCCTAAACAGTATGGTCGGTTATCGGGTTCAAAATGCGTTCTAGAGTAAAAAGTAGAGAATGAAAAGTAAAAAGTTGAAAATTAAAAGTAAAAGGGAAAATTCTTACCTAAAGGTTATTTTATGGTTGGAACCTATAACGTTATGTATTTAATCTTGTGTTCAATTTAGTTCTACATGGTTCAGACCCAACTGTCACACGAGGGGCCTACATGTTACAATTAGACAGTTGTCGAGTTATATACCTCTGAAAAGGTAACGAGAGTCGTTAAAAATGGCGTGATGGTGACCCACCTTCCACATCTACTCACAAAAGTACTCGCGAATTACTAATAAAATCAATGGATAACAGCAGTGACCCTTTAAAACCTCATCAAATAACCGATTTTATATCCACTTGTCGAGACAGTAACCCGAAGTTTAAAGGCCGATTTGAGCTAACTAATTAAAAAGACTTTTTTTTGTGTGTTGTTTTTCTCTATTTGTGCCTCACCTTCCCGTTAGCACTATTACCTTAAGGTTCATAATATATTATTTCGTCAAGATAAGGCATGAATAATATAAGTTATTTGTGACTAAGAATTACATTTTTTATAATTAATGATTGCATCAGAAAGTTATCTGATTGGATAATGGATTTAGATTTCGCATAAATAGAGTTCGTCAGCACCCATGTCTCCAATTTGATGAATGCTAGGAATTGAAAAGTGTTGAACGCCAGTGAATTTCAGCTTTCAAGAGCACAGAGCAATGTATTCCAAACTCAGTGATCTCGATTAAAAAAATATGTTGTGAAGTCACAGATCAGCGAATTCGTACCATAAATGATTAACACTGCCTGTTCATTTGAATACGTCGTAAGTCAAAATCCTGAAAAATATCCGAAATCTATTAACGACTACCGTTGTCATTTCTACACAATTAAAAGACCGCACAAGGATACATTTATATCCAATCACCATGAAGAAAACTGATTTTGATATCTTTAAAGGTGCGAACAGCTTCAAATGTGAAAATGGAAGGAGAGGTACCTATAAAAATGGCAAGTGTGAAATTCTTAGCATTGCCAGTTGTGAAATCAAAAATTCAAAATTTCCAAAAGATGGACACGCTAATCTGGAATGCTTGAGGAATACAACACATGGGGAGTCTGGAAATCAATCCGATAATGAGGGGGGTATTTGTAACGGGTATAGAAAAGACTCATTCCAAAAGGAGATTAACAGTTCTGAGGAATCGTTAAGCTCATCCCAGAAGATTCATATTTTTTTTATTAACAACAAAGAAGTCACACTGTAAGTATCATTATTTAAAAGCAATGATGATATTGGGGGGTACTAGAAGCGAACTCGGATAATAAATTTGATACCGTAACCCTATTCCCCACTAAATGAATATGCACCATAATGAAAGGTAAGCTCTAAGATACACACTAAATCAATATTCTTGAATGTAAATAGGAAATTCTAGATTCGAATACTAATCAACCAGAATAAAAGCTTCTTATCTAATATTCCTTCAAATTATCTCACCCTCCCTTGAAGACCGAATCATCCCATATAAGGGTTTCCAAATGGTATATCTTTAAATCACATCAAAAACAATTATATCCATTAACTGATATACTATTTTGTTTTCACAACACCAGTAAAATGCTGATGAGCATTTGTTACTATTTGTGCTTGAATGCTGAAACCGCCTAAATTCCTAAAAAAAAGAAAAGAAACAAAGAAACCACCCCAAAGACGCAGACAACTTGCGTCACATCTAATATTTTGAAAATTAATATGGGTATGGGCAAATGGATGGCACCACGCCATTCAGATTTCAGTTATCTCAATGCTAATACCCGAATATTTCTTGAACTGGTTTAAGGAGTACAAGACATTTATATTCCTAAACCAAACCCAATAATTCGGACCTCGACGCATTTTTTTAAAAAATTCTTTAAGGATTATTTAAATATAGATGTATGTATGTATTTTTTAAGAAGCCACGAGGGTGTAAGAGAAAATCGAAATAACCAATTTAAAACATCCAGCAATACAACCTCTGAAGAACACGATAATCTTGCATATGTTGCTGATACAACAGTTGAAAGTTCGGTTAGAAGTGAGGAAAGAGATGCGAATGGTTTAATACGTACAGAAAATAAAGAAACTGTAGTCGGTGCTGGAAATGGATTATCTGGAAACGAGTGTCATGATGATGGACAGCGGCAACACGACGATGTTGTAATTGAAACAGTCGAGTGAGTATTAACTGGCTATTACTACCTGTGTAGTGTGGGAGGGGTGGGGTATAAAAATATGAAGAAATGGTAACATTTTTCAAATTATACACCAAAGACAATGAACGCAAAAGAACTTCATATGTTCCAAAATGATTTATTTTATACTACTAACAAGCATTAGGTTCGTTGAATTTAATAGGTCTTGTTAATAAGATTGTTTCATAAAGGCAATAGAAAAAAATGTGAAGCCAGTTATTCAGCAATTCCCGGCCGCTGTACCTTTAGGACATCAAAACCCATAACATACCTTTCAAACTCGATTTTAATTTATGTATGCAATAGTAGTGTAAAGTATATTTATAGATGAAATAAATGAAAGAGATTAAGTTATTATATTTACCAGTAGTTCTGTAGAATCCTTTAATATCCACATTCGATTGACACTGATGATACTGCTGCGCACCGCAGTATTGACACTGCTGCGCACCGCAGTTTTTTTCAAAGCCTTCTTTTATAGTTGTTAAAATAGACGTCACTGCGTTGGAGAGCGATTTTGAGAAACATCGAGATGGAGCTACAGTAAGAATTTTTATGCCACTGGGGAATCCAGTGTAATGAGGACAAGTCAACATCTTGAAGGTAATAACAAAGGACAAATGAACAGATTAGTTCAAATTTTCCAAAGCAGTGCGCTTATACCTAGCATTGTTACCCACCATACAAAGCTCGTTAACGAGACAACTATTGTGCATTGTATAAACTATTATTACATGAGTTAACGTTTTTGACATCTATGTAGTTTTTCTACAGTTGTCAATGATCTTGTAAGTATTTGGATCGGTGAAGATGAACATCAGACTGTTTTGAAATATGGTCGTATTTTGTCGTCGCTCCTGTTCACTCGCCCGTCGGTCTTGTTTACATTAGTGAGTCGGGGAATCTTATTTAATTTCTACGATATTTGATAATAACCTTCAGAGTCATTGTTACCATTAATTAGATATTCTGGATGCAATAGGGTTGGTAAACATGAAGGAAATCCTTTGTTTAGTTTGATACAATTCCGGCAAATTGTATATAGATCGGATACTTGAAATATTACAAAGAAATAAATACATTTTGAATAATGGAACTCTGTTGGTTGAAATTTATGCAGTAGCTTTGGTTCACATTGCAATAGATTTTGTGCTTAAATTATTTCCGATTTATCATGAATATTATTTTTCCATTGTGTTAGAAATCATATAGAATTAATTGCTATTTTTAGATCAAATGATATTGAACCATGGGCGTGGGTAATTTTAGTGGCAGCATTGATGAACATCTTTCTGAATGGTTCTCTGCCGTATTCTGTTGGGGTCATCCATATAGCTCTACTAGATCGCTACCCTGACGAAGACATCATAACAATATCATGGCTAGGTTCTGTCTTCTCTTGTATGTTTATGTTGTCAGGTAGGTTCTATTAAAGATGTTCTTGTCCAACTAAAGATCACGCCGCATTTATATAAATGCCGAGTCCACCAGGATTATTTTTCGTCAACAACATTATAAAGCCCACAGCGCACATCAAGCCAATTTCCAGCACAGATGTCTCGCTTGTCTTCCAGAATTCACTATATCCTTAATGATTATGTCGGTGTGTCTTTAAGCCTTGACCAAAACAGTCAGATTCCTTTACAAGCTAAAAATAGTGGCATCCATCAAAGGCTTCAACAAACCATCTCAAATACCAATGCTTGCATTTAGGAATATATTTAGCAACCCAGATGGGGGTTTGTTGGCGAAAAGATGGAGATAACTTTCATTCAAGGTTGTTTATTATCGTAGCAACGGTATTGGACCAACGGAGATTTAGTCTCGTTTGTCCATTTTATCGTTAAATTGGTAAATTTCGCGTCCTAATCCATTTAAATCTCTGTCATCAGGTGGTCTAGAGAGTTGATTAAGGCTTGGTATGTGAATAAATATCTAAATATTATTTTATATAACATTTGAAGCCGAAAGAAAGACATGCAATAGGCAGATTTGGCTCTTTACAATGTATTTGATTGTATTGGAGATGAAAATAATACCATTCGAAATGTAATGAAAGTCGCAGATCTAGTTGTTTTAAATTGAATAGCTGGCTAACTGTGATTATATTGATATGGTTTAATTTAAATAAGTGTGTTTAAATCACACGGAAACCCGATTAAACCTATACTATCTTTTGATAATTTAGAAAGCGGCGCATAGAAGGAATCATGGTGCGTGTTTAAACTACATTGGCCACGTTTGACACAGTCAATGTAATAAATGCAAGACTGTTTTACATGGACTCTCAGAGTAAGGATTTAACAATGATTTTTCTTTCGTAAATGCGGCTTCTGTGATATACCAATTATATACACGCATTTTATTATACATGTAATGTTCTTATATGGTATTTTCAGCATTTATTGGAAGTATTATTATCAACGTCTTTAATGTTCGAACATGTGTCATGTTAAGTGGGTTGGTCAGTTTAGTGGGGTTTGGTATCAGCAGTATAGTTACCGATTTCAGACTTTTATTTTTAACTTTTGGTTTGATTGCAGGTAAGCAACCAAGTTTTAATGTAGATTTCTTATCAAAAATAATTGGCACTAGTCACTTTTAACTGCATAGTAAAGAACACACCAGATTGTGGAATACTTTTTATTGAATATTTAGACTTTGGGCGTCTTTAGTTCAAGGTTGAGCAAATTCTTGTATTATATAAACGAAAATCAAACGATTTGTTTTAGATAAGATGATTTTATTTGGAGCGAAAATTTAAGTATTTTGGCGCCCTTTACTCATTTTACGCCTTCTTTGCAGAAGAAAAAGAGCTAATATCGAATGACAATGGCAGACAAGCGAATATTTACTACTGATCAGTGTGAGACGTTTCAAGTGGTTATGTGTGTCTATATTTCAGGTTGTGGACAAGCCATGGCGTATACTGGATCTATGGTGGCTGTTGGGTTTTATTTCAAACACAAGACGGGAATGGCTGCTGGCATAATATCATGTGGCTCCCCCATATCACTGTTTGTATTTCCGGTGCTCGCTCAGTTTCTAATTGACAAATACACATTACAGGGTACTTTTCTTTTACTCGGTGCTATTGGCTTCCATGCTGCTGTGTGTGGAGCGTTGATGAGACCAACTAAATATGAGATTGGGCCAACACAATATTGTAGACGTCACAAAAGACCAGCGATTAAATCTAATGTAGGTCAAGAGGAAGAAGAGAAGATAGCTTTAAAAACAAAAATGATGGCTAACTTGAGTTTATTCCGATGTCTACCTTTTGTGCTTTTACTTATCAGCTCTTTAACTTCTGGCGCTGCCTTGTCGACGATCTATCTTTTTCTTCCCGATTACATAAATACATTGAATTCCTCTTCTCAAGACACCATTGTGCTACTTTTTATCGGCATAGGTGGTACGTTTTCTAGACTTTTTTTAGGATTCTTAACCGTAGCAGCCGATGCCGCCGTTTTGTATGGAACAACATTCGGGATATTCGGTGTGATAACTTTATTTTTGAATCACATGACGTCATTACTTAGCCAGATAATCTATGCGGCCTTATTTGGATTATACACTGGTGGGTGTTTCACCCTACAGCACGTGATAATGGTGGACATAGTAGGCGTAAACAAATTATCAACAGCCTATGGGATTAACGCTTTGATGGTTGGCATTGGTTACCTTACTGGACCACCTGCCATACGTAAGTATACAAGGTGGAGGTATACAGAGAGAGAGAAGGAGTTTAACTTCCACTCAATAAAACCTTGGTCATTTCTGAACTTACATATGATATACCTTTCAGACATGCGACCCTACTCGTTGTCACATGCATAAATAGAATAGATCCCATGAATTACATAGAAACCTTATGATCTGCCAAACTCCTGGGGCATTAATTCCCGATATATTTTTCAAAGCTTTCTAGACTATCTGATATTAATACTAATTTTTTTTTTTTTAAAAAAAAGAACAAAAAAGATTAAAACCATGAGTTTTAGGGACTGTCCCTACCCAGCCCAGATTAACGCTCCATACAACCATAACTAATGGTGGGTGTCGTCGCCCATATAGGTTTACTTATATCAATGATAGACCCCATGAGCTAAGGTGTAAATACCCACAAGTCAATTACGTAGGAGATATTGCAGTAGCTATTTTTAAATACCAAATAGGTGATATGACATAATGCATAATTAGTGATGAAATGCTATTTTAAAATGTTATTGTTAACAAAACATGTATTAAAGATCTTCCGTTTTATTATATATTATCAATGTTTATTTTCAGGACTTCTGGTAGACTCTTTAGATGATCAGTATTATATATTTATCTGCGCGGGTAAGAAGTCGACAACTCTTCGAACATATCCTTAACCCTCTTCCATACATTTACGATACCGACTCAACACTTGATATAGACGGCTTTAACTGTTCTTTACTAAACGTTATTTACAATGAAGCTGTGCAGTCAGGGGCCTATTTCACGAAATTTTAACTAAGATAAAATCCAAATTTTAGTAATTTGATTGGATAATATTAAATTGATTTTAGTGCTTAGCCAATCAAAATTGAAGTATCTACTAAAATTTGGATTTTATCTTTAGTTACAATTTCGTGAAACAGGGCCCAGGGGCCTATTTCACGAAATTTTAACTAAGATAAAATCCAAATTTTAGTAATTTGATTGGATAATATTAGATTGATTTTAGTGTTTAGCCAATCCTATAGCTAGTGTGCAATATGAGGTTAACCATGCCAGGAAGCATAGTCTACACGTGTTATGACCCAATCCATTCAGCGCTCATAAATTCTTCCCTTTCTGGACGACCCGCCCCCCCCCCCCCGCACACTTCCTGGTCTTGTGGTTTTATTGTTCCGCGGCTCTTACGGTATTAGATGGTTGGTGGGAAACAGCGTTTATCTACATTAATAAATGGTGTATTTAGGGTTGGTTAGAGAGCCACACCCATTTACTGACAGCTATCTTAAACTGGCAATATACTACCCCCGCCCCCAACCAAAACACCTCCTAAAATTTCATTTAAGAAACTTTCACAATTTGCCCATCCATCGGCTTTTGGCAATTGTAGATACGCCACTGAAACCAATGTTTTTATTTCTTTTTTTAGCTTGTCTGTTTATAGTATCGTGTTTCATGGGAATGGCTATACGACTTACGGGTAAAAATAAACTGGAAGTTACAGATGAAGGCGAATTCAATAGTCAGTTATGAACAAATAAAATTTATTGCAAAGTGTTTATAATCCCAATATGTATACTAAGGATATATAAAAATGTTTTTCTGGTATTAAAAATTTGTGTTTACCGTATAATTACTATTTACGGATAGAGTATCAACAATATCTACACTTTGTACTAGAAAAATAGACAGTTGTTTCTATGAAAACAGGGGAGTTGGATGGCCGAATGGTTAGCACGTGCGCGCTGTATCATAAAGTCTGTCATTGAGTCAACTGGCGTGGTTTCGATTTCCCTGTTGTACGTGACAAGGAGTAGGGTCGCCTGTCCAACCTCGTGGGTTTTCTCTGGGCCCTCGGTTTCCTCCTACTGCTAAAGACCCCTACGCGCAAGCGAATTATGAAAATAAAATTGAACCATATGTTAGTCCCGAAATGACCTAGTTTGTGTCGAGTGGACGTTAAACCCCATTCTCTCTATCTATGCAAACAAACAATTATTTTAAATACAAACGCAGTTATCAATAAATCTGTAGGTTAAAGCATTAATATTGCTGTGCGTTTAACAAGTCAAATCTCATTATATTCTCATTAGAAAATCTTTATAATGGAAACAAAGACTAACCTAGGCACATTTTTTCCCCCAGGAGAGTTATAGTTGTCCAGTTTTATAACAGGTAATATACATACTTAGAACTGATCTATGTATATACATCAGTATCGCAATACCACTGATTCAATGTTTTGAAATGTAAAGATATAGGTGAAAAATTAAAACGATAAATACTGTTCGACCAAGAAAAAATATTCTCATACTTATTTGATAAAGGTGTGTTATGGCTTTTACAACAATATCAGGGATCGTCTTTTGTATCACCAAGAAAGTTCATCGGAATTTCCGGCGTGGTCGCCCCTTGTTGTTGGTGTAGGACGGATGACCTGGCAAGGGACAACGTATAGTCGTTCAGGTGGGACGAAAAACCGAGGCCTCGTGTACTCATTGGCGTGCACATAAAATTACCCTTGACAGTTGGAATTCGAAATAAGAGTAGGTCGTATCGCCTCTGTCCGGCGAAATTTCTCTCATAGCACGCTGCATGGTATATGCCCGTCTTCATTAGCAGATGCTGAACAGTAGGACGTTAAACCCTATTTCATTTCATTTCTTTTGTATCAACAGTCACAGACACTGTACGGTGCAAATACTTCACGAACCCAGTAGTGAACGGAGGCATACAACAATCAAATTTAATCATTAAAGCTATGGTTCCCTCTTTCCCCTTTTCTACACAAATTTGGTCTAGAATTGAAGTAAAGGGATTGAATTAACTTTGTGGATAATTACATGTTTTTAGTATACAAGTATGTTTATCACAAAATTTCAGTCGTCAACGTGATACAAATTTCGGAGCTAAGGTTCATTTGTTGCCCTGTCTGTAGTGAAAAGCATTAAGCTCAACGAAAATGAAAAAAACATTGCAGCCGGGCGAAGACACCAGAATTGAAATGAAGGGTGGCGGGCCTACGAATCGGTGGTGGTTATTATTATAGTTGTCTCCCATTACTAATGATTAAGGGCAGATCACCTGTTATTTTCCCCCCATTGACGTTATTGATAATTCTCTTCTACTATCTTTACCCGGCTCTGGGGTTTCCTAAAATTTCGTTGATTTGAACGCTTACTAACAGATCGAGGAGTATAGCAAAGTCTTGACCAAAAGCATGTGTTGGGTATACTACGTGAATCTTGCGATACACAAATTGAAAGTAGCATATCAATAAATATGTAACTATCTGCCTTGCGAAATGGTGGGGGAGGGGGTGGGGAGAAAAACTACAATTAGAACAAACTACAAATTGTAAATATATTATTAGCATATAACCAGACTTCTACACATTACCACTGCAAATTAATAAATAACTTCTGATTCGGCCAGGCATCCGAAATTTAGCTTTTACCGCACTATTCCCCAATATCGAAAATCTATTAAGTAGAAATTTGTATTGTGGCTAATTATTTTCTTCCTGTGATTGCCATAACAGACTGTCCTACGTGGTCTTTTCATACATTTTATGACCTACAGGACTGCTGGACAGATGTGATCATTCATTAGTAAAGTAGTCTAGAAACCGTATCGAAGTAGAAATGCCGGACAGAGATTTCAGACGACGTTAGGACTAAATACTCGAGACGGCACAGGACGGAGCAAACACTTGGCACACAACATAATTACATTTTAGCTACAACCACCCACCCTCCTTCAGGTAGAATTTTATAAAGTACTGTAGTCCGATCTGAATTATCAACAGTGTGATCATGGGAAAGTCGGACCGTTCAGTTCACTGATGTGGTGATTGGTAATATACTAAAAGACTTTCAAGATGTCCTGCTTTTCAGCTAACTTCCCAAGGCAATTTAATCCCTATTCCGTAAATCCCCACATCATTTATGGTTTGAGTAGGACGTTAAACCCCATTTCATTTCATTTGTTTATGGTCCGCTTTAAGACGAAATGGGAGGATACCTTAAAAGACCTCGACCCATGGTCCTTGTATCACAGCCCAAATAGGCTTACTTTTGTTTCGTTTCTGTTAAGTTATTAAATTATATAATTAGATTGGTCAGGATGTTGGGCAATAATAGCACATCATTTTTCCAGACTTTTAAAATGGCCAAATCTTTGATCTATCACGAACAATAAGCAACTCCTCCTTCTAATAGCGTGTTGGCGTGGTTATATTACATACAAACTGTCATGGTAAATGGCGACCTTTGACCGCATATCTCTGGGTGGATGATTATGTCAGAAAACGGCACAGTCTGCTTGACAAAATGTCAATTACTTCAAGTGAGTAATTAAAATGTTTTCTTTGGAGATTAAAGTGATGTACAATAGGAAGACACCTAGTGGCAAATAAAGGCAGATAACCACATTGAATGTCATGTCGGACAGCTGATTAAATTAAAGTAATTAGTTTAACTTTCAACTTGTGTAACTCGACTCCAGAAGTTAAAACTATAACGAGAATCTAATTATTATCAAAGATAGTCTTTATACAAATCAACATTGATCGATCATAATCTAAGGTCTGCTTTTTTTTTTCAAATATTTACTTTATGAATCATTGCTGTGGTGGTTGTTATGTTTTTAGATGATTTAACCGGAGGGCTAAGATGATCCCCAAGCTGATAAAAATTCCTTGCAGCTATAAAGAACGAATTTGCTTATCAGACTAAATTACTCAACGACCAGGGATATCATTCTTTATTGCATATTGCTACTTATGTTGTCCATCAGACAAACGGATAACTTTTTCCCGTAATTAACATTTTCTTTCTTCAGATTTCAACAGAATGGCGTATGTAGGAGTACCTCAGTGGGTAAGGCGCTGGCTCACTAACCTGGATGTCCCGGGTTGGGTCCCGGTGTTGGCCGAGCAAGTTCCTCGGGCATTCCGACGTGGTTTTCCCCCTCGTCAGTGATGTAAGACCTGAGGATGAACAGCGTCTATTATTTCGACTGGGATGAAAGTACGAGGTTTAGTGCACGTAAAAGAATCCTCCACAGTTGGAATTAGAGCGTATACCCGTCTTCATTATCTGTAGAGCCTTAATCCCCATTTCATTTCATTCTGTTTGTAAATAGTGTAAATTATTAGTCAAGTATCTTACTTTCATTTATTGAATGAGACTACAATGATTAACACATTTCAATGTGTAGGTAGCCATCCATGATCATGATCAATATAGGGTACTGTTTAACCGATGAGTGATTAACGACCAGGGTGTTTGTCCGTCTCTGCAGTTTTTAGGTTCATTTCGGTGTCTTTATCCCAAAATTGCATATTTTCTTTCTAGATTTAACATTTCTCAGAATAGTTGACAGAATTTGTCCATTCTTTCAATGCCGATTATTTAGAGTATGGAAATATGGTAACCAAGGCAATTTGTTTGCAGTCTTAAATCAGGGATTAAACATTGACATATCAAGTGGTCTTTAAAGAGTCCTTTATATTGAGTAATGATGACTCTTGGTACAGTGTGGAATTTTGCAAAACGACGAAGGTTTTAAAAGGAAGTCGTACGATCCGGCGAAGTTGTATGATGAATACAGAGAAAAAATCGACCCTTAACGGGGACATTGCCAATTGTATCCCTAACCGCTGAAATTACGGTGATATTGCAAATTTCATCCTAAACCGGTGAAATTTGGCAAAAGGGCGAAGTCGTTCGATCCAGTGTAGCTATAATTTTCTTTTGAGACACAAACAAGAAATATTAAATTCCTCTCTTTTCTTTGTTATTTCATTGTTTCCGTACAAATTAATATTAATTCTACTGATAACAATTTTATCGATATTTTTTCTGTGTGTTAATTTTCCCACTACATCAGTTCACATCGCATTAAATCTGCCTGACAGCGAGAAAATAATACTCCAGGGAACACGAGTTATGTCCCTTGACCTAACACCAGACGTGCATGTAGATCAAGTTTCTTGCAAGTGTTGAAGCGATCGAGCGATTGAGTTTCAAGAATTGATTTTACTTTACATCCTTAACCGTGAACAAGGCAAACTACGTTTATATAGAGCCGAATACAGTGGTGATATTCTGTTACACATAGGTTGGTGACCATGTAGGCCCTCGGAGGAAATTGAGGGGGCACATAGAATATAATCTGGTGGGCGAGGAAAATTGCCATCCATTTTCACAAATTAAAATCAATTTACAAACACACAGCGTGGTGTTTGTTCCAGCTAAAGATGGCGTACAGGAGAGATGGTCGAGTGCAGTTGTTGACTCTGACATTTTACATTGCCCTTGATGGGTTATAGTGCCTTTTACTCTGCATCGTTTATTTGCCTAAAAACTGCATTTCAGAAAATGCTTGCATTATAGTTTGATTAAACGAACTTCCCAAAGCTGTATTTTTCCGTACTTTTGTTTCCCAAATAATATTATAATTCGGCGATCGCTGAGAATAGGGAACGGCAGATTATATGTTTCTTATAAATCGTTTTCCAAAATCAATCCGAGAAATACATTATTAAAACTCCGTCTTAATCCTTCATAACCATTGGAAAAATATCAA